GATGTTAATACAAGAAGATGCAACCAAAAACCACCTATGGTACCTCGAAGGCTTTAGAGAGAAAAGTTGGTGTCGGAGAGAGTATTGTAGCTTGTTGGACTCCAACGAGAAAGGAAGAAGAGGCTAGAGTCGACATGATAGTAAGATTTGAGTCTAAGATGATGTTAAATAGAAATGGTGGAGCCATCGAGTTAGAGCTTGAAATGCTCTCTGGACTATGGAGGTTGCAGGTTGGAGAATCTGAGGAGAGTTTGAACTTGGAAGGGTTATAGTTTTTGAAAATATTAGAGGAAAAATAGGAAAGGTTGTGAGATGAGTGGTAAAGTGGGATATTAGGAGTTTGGGACTTTTTTTGCTTCTTGAAAATAATGAGTTGAGAGAATTAACAAATTATTAGGGATTTAGGTGAAATTGAGATTTGAAAATTAGGAAATAAAATAAATAAATAATAAATTAAAGAACTTTAAATTACAAATGGGTAAAAAGGTCAAGTCCATTGACCCGATGGGTTAAACTCGTTATTCACTTACAACCCATCAGGTTCTATTAATTGGTCATTAATGGGCCACAAGTCATAAATGTTTGACCCTAACATATTTTAAACGAATGGGTAATGGGCAGGTTAACGGGTCGAGTTAAAAATTACCAAGTCAACATCTAACTATCTAGACTTCTAAGTGATTTAGGGCCCCAATCCTTGTAACTTTTTAACACAATTGGGTAGTGGTCAAAAAGATCTCTTATCAATCCTTTTTGTACAACATTTGGCAAATTAACTAAGAATTCTAGTGACACCAGAAATTTGTCGAGTTTGCTCATTGTTGTCTTATCTATTTTGTACCATGTATATTGCCTTTCGTAAAGTGGGACATTAGGAGTCTGGGACTTTTTTTGCTTCTTGAAGATAATGAGTTGAGAGAATTAACAAATTATTAGGGATTTAGGTGAGATTGAGATTTGAAAATTAGGAAATAAAGAAAATAAATAATAAATTTAAAAATTTTAAATTACAAATGGGTAAGAAGGTCAAACCCATTGATCCAAGGGGTTAAACTTGTTATTCACGTATAACCCATTGGGTTATATTAATTGGTCATTAATGGGCCATGAGTCATAAATGTTTGACCCTAACCCATTTTAAACGAGTGGGTAATGGGCGGGTTAGCAGGTCGAGTTAAAATTTCCAAGTAAACATCTAACTATCTAGACTTCTAAATGATTTAGGGCCCCAATCCTTGTAACAACTTTTTAGCATAGTTGGGTAGTGGTCAAAAAGATCTCTTATCAATCCTTTGTATAACATTTGAAAAATTAACTAAGAATTCTAGTGACACCAAAAATCTGTCGAGGCTGCTCATCGTTGTCCTATCTATTTTGTACCATGTATATTACCTTCCGTAAAGTGGGACATTAACAGTCTGGGACTTTTTTTGCTTCTTTAAGATAATGAGCCGAGAGAATTAACAAATCATTAGGGATTTATGTGAGATTGAGATTTGAAAATTAGGAAATAAAATAAATAAATAATAAATTAAAAAATTTTAAATTACAAATGGGTAAGAAGGTCAAGCCCATTGACTCAGTGGGTTAAGCTCATTATTCACCTCTAACCCATCGGGTTTTATTAATTGGTCATTAATGGGCCACAAGTCATAAATGATTGACTTTAACCCATTTTAAATGGGTGGGTAATAGGAGGGTTAGCGAGTCGAGTTAAAAATTGCCAAGTCAACATCTAACTATCTAGAGTTCTAAATGATTTAGGGCCCAATCCTTGTAACAACTTTTCAGCACAATTGGGTAGTGGTCAAAAAGATCTCTTATCAATCCTTTTTGTACAACATTTGGAAAATTAACTAAGAATTCTGGTGACATTAGAAATCTGTCGAGTCTACCCATTGTTGTCCTATCTATTTGGTACCATGTATATTGCCTTCCAACCATGGGTAAATCTTCCAAGCCTAGATTCCAAATGCACACTCTAGATTTTCCTTGTGTCAAGTTAATCACCCATTTGCAGTTGTTACCGTCCCACATAGAATTGCATCTCCTTTCATCACATATCTTAAGTTAGATTCTTGAATGAACATCATGTTAAGACCTTGCTTTTTAATTCACTCCCTTAAACCCCTTCGTTTGCTATTTCCATCTAGACCCCTATTATTGATTGACATTAGATTCATGGGTGAATCACCATTTTCCCCTTTTTATCTTTCTTGGTCAATTTTTGATTAGCCAATGCAAGTCTGTCTCTTGTCTCTATATCTAAAAGTCTTCGAATAATCTCCTCTATGTTGTCATTATCTACGAACCGCAATTGCTTTCTTGCTGACCATAACTCCTTCGCTTCTCTCCATAAGTTGGATCTGGAGCTTGTCCTTTCGATTCAATAACACAGGTTAGTTATAACTTGCCTTAATTGGTTCTTGATCATTGCTTTCTTCTTCCAACTTAGTGTTTGGAATTCTGCTCTTCTTTTTACTATTTCACCTTGCTTTTGCGATAGCCTTTATTCTTCTTTCCATTTGTCTTTTTCTTTTCCTCTCTTTAGCTAACCTCTCAGCCCTTGATTGTAAGATCTCATTATCACTCGCAAGTGCTTCCCAAAATGGTTGAGTGCTCCATTCCTCCTTCACCCCATCTTGTTGGACTTATTCATATCTTGTTACTTGATTTTCTTCTTTCTAATTTGCCAATCAATCCTTATCTTTTTCCTTCTCCCTATGTAATCTTGATACCCTTATGACCTCATAACACTTTCTTTCCTCATGAGCCTTAATCTTGTTTTTGTCTCTACCCTCATCACCCTTGGGTATAACTCCAACCCAATTTGATGAGTCAAATGGACTCTAGACCATAATTGGATTTAAATAATCTAGGCTTGAAAGCGACTTAGATCTCTTTAATGATTGACTAGCTCCACCACTCTGTCGCTATTCACTAGCTTTTCCACAGTACGTTACTTTTTGTCATCCTCAATGCTTCTATGCTGACTTCCTTCTCAAACTTACCATAAGTTGTCAATAAATTTAAATTTTGTCGCTTTACATTAAATGCATGTCATGCTTTTCCACAATCTCCGAAGCCTATTTGATGTCCTTTTCCGTTGTCGGTGACTCTTTTGAATCCTCTCCCATCAACTTTGCATCACTATCAAGTCTCGCCATATGCTCATTGTCCTCTAGCATTTTCCAATCTCCTTCACCTTCCACCTCATCATAAAAATCTCTACTTGAATTTTTAGACCAACCTTTTGAAATTTGAGTCCCTATCCTTGCAAAGGTAGAAGTCTGTTTGCAATGAAAATAGATTGTCAATCCCAACCTCTTCACAAACACGGATATGGAATATAGCATCCTTAACTTTTACCCTCAAGATCTTTTGAATGTTATCTTGAATTGGAGTTAGTATCAGAATTTTTGCTGCATCTAATCTCTTTTTCTTAATCCTGTTATGATCGAATGATATGAACTTTCTAAATAAACAAGCAACTATTTCAAAGAAGCTACTCTTCCATATATGTAAAGGACTCGTTGGCATCTTAGCCACGTAAACCTCTTAGTAGCTATATCTGTTAGAATCCATAGTTTCACTTTCGAGAACCATTATGTTAACTAGTCCTTTTTATCTTCCACAGGATGTTTCAACTCCTCTACTTCAAAACAAGAAAACAAAACCGAATTACCTCCCATTGGTGTCAAAGAGACTAAAAAATATCCCTTCATAACAAATTTGTCTTGGAGAGTGCCAATTAATTTAGGACATTTTGCTTTACAGACATAATAGTTGTGAAGCCACACTAGTTTTTCCTCATCCACCTACACCTCCAATCCATGCCATACTTCTTGATCTAAGTTTGCACTTTGTGCCTTACATTCCATATTTGCCTATCCTTTTGGCTTTCATCTACTTGTACCATTCGCTTCCTTACACCGTTCCTTAGCACTTCTGTATATGTCTGTTATGGTGCAAGATTTTGGAGCTTTTCCACTCCTATGTGATTAGGAATATTATGCCTCTTCAAACTATCTTCCCTTGAGTACCTAGCCCAATTTGCTTGGATAGTGTATTGCCCCACTTTGATTCAGTTCAGTTTCTCTTCCAATTTCTTATAAGTTCTCACCTTTAAGAATTGAACAACACCAAAGCGATGTCCCACCTTATCGCTCTTCACCACAAACACCTAACTTGCCCTTCCACATTTAATGAAAGCATGCCACATCTCATTGAGTTTCCACTCCTTTGGAAAATTGGTAAAGAAGGAGGTTGCTTGCTCTAGAACTCCTTTGCCATAGCCTTCAATAGGTCTTTATTGTCTTTCATTGTTCCTTTTCCGTGTCCTATTGTATCCCAGATAATTTTTGGTTGAAGGTTTAAGGTTGTTTGTGTTTTGATAAGGGTTACACTCACTCACCAGTAATCTCTCAATCTAAGGGTTTCCCCATGCTAGTTGGATTGCACCAGCTGAATGGGGGTTAAGTTTTTGGGTTTGGTTCCCTACCCTGTGGTTTCTCTCTCTAACGCTCATTCTCTCTCTCTCTCTCTCTCCATTTTTTTCCTCTTTTTTTATATTCATGAAGGATTTATATCATATGATTTTGCTTTTTCATTCGCCAAAGCTTCGGTGTCACGAATTTACAAGCCTTTCTCATTTTACTACTTGCCTTTTAAATCTTTGGTAAGGGATTTTAGTCTTTTGATTAAAGTGAGAGGGCAGAGCAAAACTCTTCGGTTGGATCAAACCGGAACTTTTATAATAAATTTTCAACTCATTCATTGTGGCACTCTACTTCGTGATTCTTTTACTTAATAATTTCATTTATTAATTTTTTATATAAGTTTTTTATTAAATATAATAAAATTAATAACTTGGAAAATTGTAACAAAATTTTATTATAAGATTTAATAACTTTTTATATAACATTTTATAACTTTTAATATACTCCTTTTCTAATGATTTTTATAATATATATATATTTTTGATAAAGTGACCTCTTAAGAAACAGGCTATTTACTCCGTTTAGATTCAAAATTTTCATGTATTAATGATTTTTTTTTGGTTAAAAAGGTCAATTCCTTTCTTCCAATCTTCTTTAAGAAATGTTTGGATTTCCCGCTTAAGTGAAGGCAATGAGAAAGGAATCAAGAAGAACAGGTGAAGTAGAATGTCCAAAAACACCAGCACCATGGACGACGTCGATCGATTGTTTCAATGTTTCAAGTGCGGCATCTCTCCTCCCCGTAAGCCTCCCTCTCTTCAATCTCTTTCTCTGCATTCAATTTCCTCACACAAAACTGAAACATTCTTGAATTCCAAACCTCGAAATCGAAGAAGAATGCTGATCTTCTTTCGCTCAATAAAACCTCGAATCTATTCCGAGTTTCATCAATTGAAACCCTGAATCAAAGATTTTGATTTGGTTGATTCGTGATAATAGTGTATTTCTTTGTTCTGTGTTTCATCGTTTTCCCAGGATCTGCTTTCCGAGAAAGGAAAAGAAGCAGGAGGAAGTTGAAGCAGGAGAGTTCAGTGCAGAAGGTCTCTGCATCTCCTGCTACTCCTGGTCTAGAACCACCAGGAAAGAGGCAGGAAAATGCCACAGATGCACAGCTCTCCGCGGAGGGAGTAAGTACTCTGGATTGCTCTTGATTCAGACATATCCATGTCTTTCTGATTATGTTTGGGACATAAAGTGCTAATTTTATAACCTCACCCACGCTTTTTAATTCCGCCTCATCCTCCACAATTACCAAAGTTCAAAATATCCCTCATGTACAAAAACAAGGAAGCCCTTAATTTGAAAATAGTCTAGTAATTCTTGATTCTTTGTTTGGAAAATATAAATTTACTTAATTGTGATATTTTGATGCATCATATCAAAGTTCAACTTTTCTTTAAGCTAATAATGAATGCTAACTTTTATATTTTGAGCTTGTTGGGGATTTTAGTTTTTCTCCATTGAGCCTAACACAATACTTTTTTCAGTGTAGTTCAACAGCAGTTAAGCTAAACAAATTGTCCCGTGAGAAACAGATTTCTCCAGTTGTGTTTTATGGGTCCCCACATGGTGTTCCTCCTAAAAGACCACTAAGTTTGTTGAGATTGTTAAATGAAATACGCATTGATCTCAGTGAACAAGAGTTGTCGGAGTTAAGGTACTTTTGTGGCTTGACTTCTGCCGGTTCCCGCTTCAATTAATATGTCTACTATTTTGAGTCAAAAGCCTCTATTTTTCTCTTTTGGCCTACCATATCTTTCTATATAACCCTTGCTCTCTTTACTCATTTGCTTAGGAAGGACGTATGGGCAACATTTCCAAGGCAGGAAGAAGCAATGAATTTTGCTAAAGCACATAAAGATGTACATGTATTCAGTTATCAAGATCACTTTAGTGGGCAGAGAAGATTTCTTGTTTCCACTTACAAGGAATTTTGGAGAAGGTTTCTTCATCATGCTGTCTTTCTCATAATGTGTGAACTTAATTACCAGATGATTGTTTTCTTTTTAAAAAAAATTGCTTCTCCTTATCCAGGTACAAAAGTATGAACCCGAAATTTTGCCACCATTATGAAGTGATTCAAGAGGTAAAAGTACCCCTAGGTCTTTTCAGAAACAAATTCACTTTCACTTAGACTGATGCCAATAATTACATATATAGGAGGAAACTGTGAAGATATTTGTTGTTGGGTAGTTTTTCATGGTAGCTTAATGGATAGTATGATTTCTGAAGAGTAGGATCCTAGGTGTGGCATTTCTTCCTCAATCCATATTCTATCCAACATATATTTACTATACATCAAAGCAAGATCTTGAAATATATATTTTTTAATGACAAGATCTTGAAAAATTTATATTCCCATTATTTACATATCTACAAACACTCTGTGCGTAACCTGCTTACTCTTTCCTTTTTTCTTACTTTTTAATGAAATTTTTATTTCTAAAGTTTTACTGTGAAGTTAATTACTTAATAAAAAGTAGAAAATTCATTGTGGAGAAATGTTAATAGTCAAGGAAAGGCTTAAAAATTCAATAAACATTTTAAACTTGCACAGGTTCAACAGTAGTGAAGAGAGAAACCTGTCTGTCCTATGAATTTGCCAAGGATCTTGGCCTCTCTCCAATATTATAATTTCTTATCTGTGAAAACTTTTCTAAGTAGAAGCCAGTATTGCTGAAGTTTCATTTTAATTCTGTGTTATTTCTAGTGTTTACCATGCCACCTGTACTTTGACTTGGAATTCAGTAAGAGACACAATGCGGGAAAAGATGGAGATGAAATGGTTGATCTTTTGATTTCAGTCATTCTGGAAGCTTTAGTTGAAAAATACTCTATTGAAGGAAATTTGGATTGGATAGTGGAGCTTGATTCCTCTACAGAAGGTATGATATTCTGGTAGATGCAATGTTTCTGTTACAGCCAAACATTAAAGTAATCAGCTGGGTGTGATTTGATTTAAAAGAAACTTAAAAAAATTTTATATTATTTGTTAGGGAAATAAATAATTGTCTCTTAGTACTACCAAGGGTGACTAGCAGATGGCATGTAGCATACTTTGGTGATCTATATAGAGCAATAAATGTCATGTTATGAAAGAATCTACTGTAGGACTAAACTTTCAAACTAGTTTACGATCAAAACTGTTGGCTGAGAAACTGCTGCAGACCCTGTATGAAGGAAAAGGCCAGGTCATGTTTTGCAAATTCTCTGACGGAGAAAATACAGTCCTCTGAATCTGAGTTTCATGTTAATGAAATGCATAGTAATGCCATATCCCAGGTGTTAAGAATTGCATGGGTAGTTACTATATAATGGTGGAAGTCTGCCTTATATGGCTATTTGATTTTCTTATTTATACCATTTCATGCCACACATTTGATTTTTAACATGGTAACTTGTTTTTAACAAACAATTGCCATCTATTTTAACACATATATACAGACAAGTTTTCTCGTCACTTGATCATTCGCATACCGAAGACTGCTTTTAAGGACAACTCACATGCTGGTGCATTTGTAGCAGAGGTATGTCTTTTTGATTATTAGTTTCAGTGCTTGGTCTATAACTTGACATAATTTTTCTTTTCAATCGTCCAAATATAATTTGCTATAAATTTAGATGCATTTCCCAACTGCTCTCTAAAAATGCCAACTGAGCTATTTAAAGTTGATGACTTTAGCATTCTTGTTGGTAAGTAATTTTTCCATTTCATGTTAAATGACCGTTCTATGGCATTTGTGGCCTTTGTTCTGTCCCCTAAGATAGGGAATTTGAATTTTGCATATATTTGTGGCCTACTTCATCTTCTTCTTCTTCTTCTTCTCTTTTTCCTGTCCAAGAAGGGGAATTTGCTTTAAATATTCTTCTTTTTCCGTATTTTTGGGTTGTTTGCTGAAAACATGAGCTACTTTTTCTATGCAATGTTTGTCAGATATGCTCACGTATAGCAAGTGCAAGGGAGAGAGATGGAAGATTTGAAAAATTATTTGTTAGAAAAGATTCTAGTTCTGCTGAGTCACCAAGTCAACTTTTTGTGGACACAGCTGTCTATTCTAGAAATCGTTGCTTTCGATTGGCTCTATCATCAAAGGCGGGAAAGACTTCTTTCCTCTTACCTACTGGTCGTTTTAAATGTAAGGACATGGTATGATATGACCCACTTGTTAAGAATTACATCTCATAAGTTCTAGTGGCTCTGGTCTTCAGATATCAATTTTTAACTTCTGCTGTTGCATGTGTAATCCACAAGATTCTTCTTAATTGCACTACTGCCTTTTGTTATGACTTTGAAAGAATTCTCGGAAATCTAAGCCTGTTGGTGTGCATTTCTTACTCATGCACTGTAGAATTGCTAAACTTCTCAACAATGATTTTGAAGTCTAAGCAACAGCTATCATTTTTACCAAAAGTTTTTGCATTTTAGCATCTTAAGTCTTTTCTTTCTTCCTAATCCTCCTCTTAAGTAGAGCCAAAGACTGATTGATCAGGGAAAGCACATATTTTCTATTTCCTCTCACTGCCAATGCCATGCTTCATACTTCTGTTTGTCCATTTTCTCCAAATGGAAAACAGAACAGTGTGTATTACTAGGAAATTTTCAATGTGTTGAGTGAACAATCAAGCCATAGAATTACATGCCAGCTATGAGTGCTGATCATCAGGCTCATTATCATTATCAAAAAGCAAATCAAGCAGCAGTATTGCAGAAGCTGCTAGGTGTTTGGCCACCACGAAGGAGCCCCCTTGGCAACACTCCCAAACAGGAAACTTAGTTGCATTTTTAGTGATTTTGTTACAACTTATGTTCCTTTGACATATAGAATATATATATATATATATTTATTTATTTACCTTCAGTTTGACTTTTTTGGCCAGTCAAACAAGGCCTTCAGTTTGACTTAAATTGCTGTTTATCACAGTGTGAAGAAGACATGTTCATGGTGTCCTTAATCTGCAACTTGGATGTTGATTGTGAGAGACTCCTAGTCTGCAAAATGGAGTTAGATTGTGTGAAGACCTTGCATTTTGATACAGAGGTAGATTTTGGACTCTTCTTTAGTTTTACTTGTATTTTTTTATAGGGTTTACTAAGATGCCTGACTCTCCATTACTTGTTAGCTTTCCGTTGTCAACTCTTTGGGGCTCTTGCTTTCTGCTTGATGTATACATTTTAGTTATAGTGCTATTGATTAAGGGATGAAGACATCTGGAATTAGATATAATGCCATTTAGGCTGAAAAGTCCAGAGTCCCCAACCTTCGCATTAAAGTAAGTGTTGTTAACAATTTGAAACTCTTCCACAATGCAGGTAGCTAGTAATTCTGGAAGATACTCTAGAGTTTCTCAAGAATTCTTAATAAATGCTTGCAATGATGTTTCAACAACGTACTTAATGGGAAAGTCACCATTTCCAGCTTTGGAAAAGTTTATAGAATCCATTGCCTCTACAGGAAATGTGCCAGGTAGTGCCATGTATTTTAACTGACATAGCAATTCAGTTGAGAATGACTAATATAATTGGAGGAAAACTACATACCCTGATGTCCCTCCAATTTATAGGTATTAGGATTTTTTATTTCTCTTTATATGTTCCAACCAAATGTGACAAGGGCAGTTAGATTGTTGTTGAATGAATTGTATTGCCATTGATTCTTTTTTGAGTGTAGAGGAATTAGGATTGTTTTATATTTGGTTTCAGGTAATCATTTCAGCTCTCTATTATACAATGTGAGGAATGAGGATGAGTATGGTTAAATAATACTTCAGTGGAATAGGATAAAATAGGCACTTTATTATTTTTCTCTTTCCCAATTCAACAGGATAATAAGTGGAATTATCATCTACAGTATTTTTATTTCCTTCCCCAACTTGGCTCGCTGACAATTGGCTTGTGATTTAGGTAAAATACGATGTTGGTATTGGTTCTCGGAGTATGAACTGATTATCTACAGCATGTCAAGAAATAGATACTGTGAGCGAATTGGTAGGGAGCATAAGAGCAATCATGGTAAGTCTTAATTGAGTTATTTACCTGTTAACAGCAAGATGATAGTTCAATTCTCTTCCTGCATGGACCTAGTTGAATCAATCAACCATTTTTGCACATTTTATAGTTATTCACACTTCTGTTATTATTTATGATACCACACACAACTCCGTATTCATCCATCCATACATGATATACATTCAACCCACTAGAATATTATACTTCCGTTTATATTCTTAATCATGCATGCCCGTCCTGTCCTTTCTTGAAGAAGGTTAAAATTTTATTGTTTCAGTGATGTATGTTGTTGATCTCAGAAGGGCTATTTTTTATCAGAAATGTTATGATCCAGACTGCAAAGGTGCGGTGTTCTTCGTTTTATGCTAAGCTATCAATTTTAATGCTCTCCTTGCGTGGATGACAATTTAAAGAAATCTCATTTGTCATAACAGGCTATCGATCTCCATTTCGTCCAGTCCCATTGGATTGCCTGCCTGATTCTTCATCTTTCTTTGATTCAAGAGAGAAAGATGATGGTGGAGGAGGGTTAACAACTAATAACCTTGGATACCAATTTGTTAACAATGATGAGGAACAGGTCTTGCTTTATGATGATGAGGATGACATAGATTGCTGTAATAGAGATTCCTGGTGGCTTGAAGCTAGTAAAGTTGCTGATGTCATTGAAAATAAGGCAGAAGCATTAGCAATCATGAGCAAGGTTAGTTTAGCATCAGCATCAGTATGAAAGTTCCTATCATCTATCTTATTTCATCTGTCATTTTCCATAAAAGTGTATTAATAGCATTTCTGCTTCCAATTTTGTCTAGTAGGACACTTGACTTTTTCCCACCAGTGTCATGCATATTAGACCATCACCAAATCCATTCCTTAATTGTCTAGTGAACTATCAGACATTCTGGAAGAAAAAAGTGCTAAGAGCTAACAGTTAGTACAAAACAGTACAGAATCAGGAAGAGCATGTTTATATGGATCCTGTGGACTTGTTATTTTCTAGGGCTTGCTCAAATTCTTTTAACTCCATGTTTTTTATTTCACCACAGGAGAATGTCAATGATGATGAAGATGATGAGTGGTGGATGGCTGCGGAGAGAACTGCATCTCAGGCTGAACTGTAAGTTTATAACACATAACTAATTTAGGTCACTTTATATTGTAGCAGTTCCAGCTTCTAATCACAGGCAGACATAACCTAATCTTGAGAGAGTAAGAAAATTTTGAGGAAATGTTTAGTACCATAGTATTTTCTTTGTAAAGCAAAGGAACCAATTGCAATAATTGAGTGTATTTTTTTTTTTTTTTGGGCCACGCAATAATTTGATGTAGCTATGTAGATTATTTCAATGTTCTTTGCAGTGTAATTGTGTAAATGCTGGATTTTTATTTGGATTAACAAGTGCACGATCTATCTGCCGATTATCAATCTACCAAGAAAAATTTTGCTGATCATAATTCCTGAGAAACAAGTAGTTTGGTTGTCTGCATCAAACTCTTTCGAATATATTTGGAAGGATTGAGTGCATGCCCTATCCTATGTGACAACTTTTCTGTTCGACTAGATGTGGGTGAACCGACCACCAATGACAAAATTATATTTCTTTTATAGTTGTCAGGTGGTACTTTGGGTTAACTTGCGCGCCTTGACCATCGACCACGTTAGGCATGAGGCTGGAAGATCTCCATTGAACTTGAGCATTTTAGAAACATTACAAAGCGTGCAGAATTTGAACTTTGAAGTTCGAAGTTTCCATGAATGTCCCTACCTACCCATGATTGAACCTACATAAACCGCCAAAGTCTTGGTCTCCTTATTTTTCTTTCTTCTCATTGTTTATTGGTTAGAGCTTAATTAAATTGTTTATACCATAAATTTAGCCTACGCAAACAGGTCAGATTGGGTCGTTTTGAAACTTAGGTTTTTCAAATTGGATCATTTTGGACGTTGGATTAAAAAGATAGGTCCATGACATATTCACACGGGTCTTAAATTGGATTGAGTAAACTCAATTTCTAAAAAATTAAATTAAAAATTAAAAATTTTTTATATATATTTTTTTTGACAAAGTCTAATACTAATTAACTATTTAATTTGAAAACTTTATTAAACATTAATTTTTATTAAAACAAGAGATATGAAGGAGTATAGTTCAAAAGAAAAATTTAGGATATATATGTTAATATTTAGTACATATTCAATATTTATAAAGGTATTATATAAAAAATATAGTTCTATGCAATATTTA